TTAACAATGTTTTGGTCGGAAAAGAATTCCCAACAATTGTTCTTGTTGCAATTACTTCTTTATTCACCACATTTACATCAACAATACCAAAAGCGTCATCCCTATTTTCAATAGGTATTACAACTTTTAGGTGAGGATTATAAGGCGATTAATGGAAGAGTGATTGATTTACAGGGATACTAGTATTCGATCTTGTGCACATGTACAGATGCAAATAAAATTTTATATATTGTATGTATGTAATATTTAAAATCATAAGCTAGATAATAGCATATCGCATTTTATAAATTTTATCATTAATAAAAATGAACGATAACTATTAACTTACATATAAATTTTTATGTCGAATGCAATTATATAATTTTTGCAATTTTTTTAGTATGCACAAGTGATTAGATAAAACAATATTGAAATTATTATAATCATAGAAATTGTGTTCAAAATTTTTAAAATTTTGGTTATATCACAAAAATTAAATAACTATTAATAAAAACACTTGCTTAATGAATTAAAAAAAAATCAAATAAATAGTTTGAAAAAAAAATTAAATTATAATAACATTTAATGTGACTTTATAATTTGTTAGGAGTAGTTGTTATATAATAAAACAAATTATTAATATAGATACTTAATTAAAGCAAAGTAACCTCTTTTAGAGGAAAAAAAATTTAAGTTTTATTAAATGCTTGGCCTAGCAATTATATATATAGATAGATTCATAAATTCTGATTTCATACATGTGTGAAAAGTCTTTTTGTTTCGTATTTATGGAACTTGTAACTGATTGATCAATGTTGAAGACAATATTAATTAAAAAATGAGAGATAAATGAGATTTTACTAGCAATCGGCGATTGCTAAAAAATTCATTGATTACAATTTTTAATTTTCAATATAATTTTTTTTGTTTTTTTTTCGGTACAAAAAATTTATTTATTTTTATTTACACATCTAGCTTTCAAGAAGTAATACTAGTAAAGATTACATCCAGTGCCCGATACATTTACTTTATTTATCATACATATATTTCCTTTTTTAATATAATAATTGAAATTGAGAATATTCAAATATAAACTCTACAAGAACATACATTTCAATTGTAAAAAAAGTATTAATAATCGTTTGCACAAGGCAAGTGCAACTTCCTAGTTAAAATCCCTCAATATATTAATACAGAACGCGCTGAGCCTACGTGGCTATTTCTGGTGCTTCGGAATCCTATGTGGCAAAATTATATGCTTCGTTATTAGGCTTGGGTAAATTTTAATTTAATTCCAAACCAAAAATAATTATGTTCGGATTACCATAAATATGTTGATTATTTATGGTCCTGTTACATGTATTAATTTTATTTTAATATCATTCCTTATTATAACTATTGAATTGTATATATATTCTAAAAGTTAATAACTTTTGTATTTTTTATCAGTTTTACATATGTAATATATCAAATTAATCTTCTTTTGATGAGCTTCGATTTAACATCCATATTGTATGTATAAAAAAATAATTTATATTTATCTTTATAACAATAATAAAATTATTTTTAATATTAAATAGAAAAATGAAATTATTTATCAACTAATATATTTATATTTCAAGTATTATAACTATTGAATTGTATATATATTTTAAAAGTTAATAACTTTTGTATTTTTTATCAGTTTTACATATGTAATAATCAAATTAATCTTCTTTTGATGAGCTTCGATTTAACATCCATATTGTATGTATAAAAAAAAATTATATTTATCTTTATAACAATAATAAAATATTTTTAATATTAATTAGAAAAATAAAATTATTTATCAACTATAAATTTATATTTCAAGTAGTTATATGATATAAATTATAAAAACTAACATATAACGCATGTAAGTCATAAGTAACACATCATTCTAAAATATATAGTAATATATTTTTTTTGTAAAAAAGTAAACTAAATTTAGAGTTTTCTCATTAATTTTAAAATTTAAGAATAATTTTTTAACAAGCACCCATGTAATACACGGGTGTTGTACTAGTAACTGATTAAGACTGAATCTACTTAGGATTGTAAAAGAGTTCGTGAAGGGCTTGAACAAAACCTCTTGCCTCTCTTTTTTCTCTTTACTAAGAAGATGCACGTGCTACGCATGTGATATTGATTTTTTTACTCAAATTATTTTTATTATATATTTAATCTAATAGCACCATATAATTTTCTTTTCATTATTTAACAAAAAATTGTGTATTTTATGATAAAATATAAAATTTAATACTATTAACAGAACTCTATGACAAATAAAATTAAATAAAAAATATTGGTTAGAAAATATGAAATAAAATTAATATTTTTTTTACAAATTTGAAATGCTGAAGAAATATATGTCGTCCTTGATTTTGTTATTTACTGATATCATCCTTATGCTTAAAATAATGATCATTATTATTGTGAAAATAATATCTTTTTTAATGTCTTCCTTTTGCGTCTTACTATTTGAATAATAACTCGAATTTACTATAACTATAATTTGTAATTATCATTTGTTTATTGTTGATTAGAAGCTGACACTGTGGTTGAATATTTCGTTCTCTATTATTTTGATTATAACGGTTGCAAATTCAATTATATTTGCACGTGTAATATTTCGTTCTCTATTATTTTGATTATAACGGTTGCAAATTCAATTATATTTGCACGTGTAATATTTCGTAATATTTAGATATATATTTTATCTCTGTATATAATGATATAAGAGATATAAATATTTGAAAATATATTTAAAGTTGTAAATATTTAAAAAACAATTACTTGAAATTAGGAACAATAACATCCTTGATTGATTAAAGGTTCACATCTATCTAAATATAATATTGTAACATTGGTTAATTGAAGGTGCTTATCTATATATATTGTCCAAAATAAATTATTTTTACATCTCCTAAGACTGTCATACATGCATTATCATTTTCGTTCATGGATTTCCAAGACTATCTAAAAAGTGAAAAAAAAAAATTATAATTCAATTTTAAATAAATTGTATAATCATGATTCTTTCATATTTTACTTTTATCTTAACATTATTCTATATATTTGTCAATATTTTTACAAGGTTTATGTTTCCTAGTTTTAAGAAGTGATTTGAAAAATTAAATTTATCTATGATTTATAATAAGATAGTCTATTGAAATAAATTTAAAGTAAATGTAATATTTACTTTTATTTAATTAATTATAATTATTATAACTATATATTTTTTAACAAGTACACATATTTTAAAATTCAAGATTTTAAAATCGAGTATTACTTATTTTATTTTATTTTATTTTTATAATTACTATATTTTGATTTCTATTACAATTAAATTAAATAGTAGATTAATTATGTAACACATATTACCATAAAAGAACATTTATACTGTACATACTACTAACATAAAAAGTTAAATTGTATCATGCATATATTTTAATGAATAATTTAAACAAAGTATTTCTATTAAAACTATATATTTGCACTTAACTAATATTTTTTTCCATAAAACATTGATATTTTTATGTTGGATAACTATTTTTAATACTAAGAAAAATGAATGAAAAAAATAGCATACAAACATTTTAATACATTAATATTTAAAAAAATAACATACAAATATTTGGTAAATAATAAAAAACAATGAGAACCATAAGTTAATTGAATAATATATTTATAATATAATAATACAATAAGAATAAAAAAGATTAATATATTATGACGTTGGAAAAAAACCATTTAAATAGATAAATGTTTGGTTTCAATAAAAGGTTGGTTCAATTGATTTTTTTTTTATTGACTTTGCATTACAAGAATTTTTAATATTTGTACAGGAAAAAAAAAATCTTACTTTTGTAGTTGTACCAATACATTCATTTAAAAATTTAGATACCGGTCAATTTTGATTGTTTATATTACAAATAGTAAATGTATTTGGAATAAGACATAATATAAATTTTTGGAAGTAACATAATATAATACTTTTAGAAGTAACATTGTTTTTTATTGGGGGTAGTAGTGACATTTTACATTTTATTTCAATGTGGTTGGATGAGATATTAATGAAGTTATATTATTACATTTATGTCCTTAAATGGTAAAACTTTAGAGGGTAATATGGGCATTTCAAAATTTTCAAGA